AGGGGAAGAGGACGAGGAGGAGAAGAGAACAGAGGGACAAAGAGGTGGACAAAAAGGAGGATGAGGAGGCGCCGGAGGAGGAAGAAGGAAGGACGAGACAGAGGCAGAGGCGGAGGAGGCAAGAGGAAGAAGAGGAACTGTGGAGGCGGCGATGACGAGGACGAGGATGAGGACGGTGTTTGTGAGCGCTCGGGCATCCAAGAAGCTCCGCAGCGACGGCACGCTGTGCTTCGCGGGATCCCGCCTGCCCTCCGCCGCCGCGTCGCAGTGGGAGTGCCACGCCTCCCTCTCGGCCTGGCTTCAGCCGTTTCCCTCCTCCTCTTCCTCTTCCTCCGCCTTTTCCTCCTCCTCCATTTCCATCATCAATTATTTCCCTCTTCCTCCTCCTCCTCCCCCTCCTCCTCCTCCTCCTCCTTTGCCACTTCTTATGTCACTCCTCCTCCTCCCCCTCCTCCTCCAACTCCTCCTCCTCCTCCTCCTCCTCCTCCTCCTCCTCCTCCGCCTCCTCCTCCGCCTCTTCCTCCTCCTCCTCCTCCTCCTCCTCCTCCTCCTTCCTCCTCCTCCTCCTCCTCCTCCTCCTCGTCGATCTAGTCGTTACATCGATCATGATCACAATCATCGTCGTCGTAATCCTCTTCGTCTTCAGCAGCCTCATCGTCATCGTCATCGTCATCGTCATCATCATCATCATCATCATCATCATCATCATCATCATCATCACCATCACCATCACCATCACCATCACCATCACCATCACCATCACCATCATCATCATCATCATCATCATCATCCTCATCCTCATCCTCATCATCATAACCATCATCATCATCATCATAACCATCATCACCACCACCACCACCACCACCATCATCATCATCATCATTATCAGCATCGTCATCATCAATATCATCATGATCAGCATCATCATCACAGCAAGCATCATCATCACCATCATCAGCATCATCATCATCAGCAGCATCATCATCATGATCATCGTCAGCAACAGCATCACCATCATCATCGTCAGCATCAGCACCATCATAATCATCATCATCATCATCATCACCATCGTCATCAGCAGCAGCAGCATCATAATCATCATCACCATCATTGGCATCATCCGCATCATCATCTTCCTCATCAGCATCATCATCATCATCATCGGCAACAGCATCATCATCATCACCATCGTCATCACCAGCATCAGCATCATCGTCATCATCAGCAGCAGCATCGTGATCATCATCATCAGCATCATCATCATCGTCACGATCATCATCTGCATCAGCAGCAACAGCATCATCAGCAGCAGCAACCGCATCAACATCATAATCATTATCAACATCATCACCATCACGGCTACCACCGTCCTCATCAAAATCAGCACTACCACCATGATCATCAACGGCATCGTCGTCATCATCATCACCAACAGCCAGCTACGACTAGTTAATTGTGGCTGTGGTAGTCGCCACTAAGCTTAGTTGCAACCAGCTGGTTGTAACACCACCATCACCCTCATTTGCAGCATCAGCATCGTCGTCGCCATCGTCGTAAGCATCATTATCAGCAGCAGCATCATCACATGGCCAGCAGCATCATCAGCAGCATCATGATCATCACCATCATCAGCATCGCCATCACCATCGTCAGCATCATCATGATCATCAACATCCTCATCATCATCATCATCATCATCATCATCATCACAAGCATCATCATAATCAGCATCATTACCGCAATCGTCATCACCATCATCAGCATCATCATCGTCGCCTTCGTCATCGCCATCACCATCATCGTCATCATCATCATCATCATCATCATCATCAACATCATCATGATCATCAACGTCATTATCGGCATCATCGTCGCAATCATCATCACCGTCAGCATCAACAGCAGAAGCAAAACCAGCATCAGTAAGATCAGCATCACCATCATCATCAACAACAGAAGCGTCAAAATCAACATCAACATCAGTATCATCATCATCAGCAGCATCACCATCATCATCATCATCATCAGCATCATCATTATCATCATCATCATCATTTTCATCATCATCATCATCATCATCATCGTCATCGTCATCGTTATCATTATCATCATCGTCATCGCCATCGCCATCGGCATCAGCGTAATCATTATCCTTATCATCATCACCATCTTCATCAACATAATCAGCAACATCAGTATAATCATCATCCGAGTCGTCATCGTCGAAATCATCATTATCATCATCATCAGCAGCATCACCATCTTCATCATCATCACCAGCAACATCATTAGAATCATCATCATCATCATCGTAAGCATCATCATCATCAGCGTCGGCATCGTTGCAATCATCATAACCATCAGGATCAGCAGCAGCAGCAATAGCATCGTCAGTAAGATTATCAGCATCACTAGCATCAGCAACAGAAGCACCAACAACATCAACAACAGCATCATCCGCATGATCATCAGCAGCATCATCATCAGCGACACACTCATCATCATCACCATCATTATCACCATCATCATCATCATCATCAGTATCATCATCAGCATCACCATCATCATCATCATCACCATCATCATCATCACCATCATCAGCATCATCATTATCATCATCATCATCATCATAATCATCTTCATCTTCATCATCAGCAGCAGCATCATCATAAACGGCTATAGCAGCAGTGCCATCATCATCATCATCGCCATCATCAGCATCATCACCATCATCAGCATCAGAATCGTCATTCGCATCGGAACAATCATCATCATCAGCATCATCATCGTAGCAATCATCATCAGCAGCAGCAGCAGCATCAGTCTCATCATTATCATCAGCACCATCACCATCACGAGTACCACCGCCTTCATCAGAATCACCCATACCACCATGATCATCAATAGCATGATCGGCATCATCACCACCAAGCATCGTCAGCATCACCATCATCCTCATATGCGGCATCAGCATCGTCATCATCATCAGTAGCAGCACCATCACTATCCTGAGCAGCATCACCACCACCACCATCATTATCAGCATTGCCACCATCAGCAGCATCAGCATCATCATCACAAGCATCGTCACCTTCAGCAGCATCAACATCAACATCATCATCATCATCCTTAGCATCAGCAGCATCATCATGGTCAACGTCGTCGCCATCGTCATCAGCTTCATCATCATCATTATCATCATCATCATCATCGTCGCCATCATGATCATCATAAGCATCATCATCACTATCAGCATCATAATCACCACCATCATCATCAAGATCATCGTCGTCATCGTCGCGATCATCACCGTCATCAGCAGCATCAGCAGCAGCAGCAACAGCATCATCAGTATGATCATCACCACCAGCACCAACAACAGCAGAATCATTAAAATCATCTCATCATCGCCGTCGTCAGAATCATCATCTGATCATCGTCGTCGGCATCAGCATCTGCATCATCTCATCAGCACCATCATCTCAGCATCTGCATCATCGTCGTCGTCATCACCTCAGATCTTAAGATCTTATCATCTTAAGATCATCATCAGCAGCATCTGCGTCATCGTCGCCGTCATCTCAGCATCTGCATCATCTTAAGATAATCAGCAGCATCTGCACCATCTCATTATCGTCGTCGTCAGAATCATGACTCAAATCGTCAGCACCATTACCATGATCAGTAGCATCATCATGATCATCATCATCAGCATCATCAGCATCATCGGCATCATCGTCATCATCGGAATCATCATCATTATTATCATCGTCATCACCAGCAGCATCATCATCACCATCAGCGTCATCAGCAGCAGCAGCACAATCAAAATCAGAATCTCCATCCTCGTGGGCATAATCATCAGCATCGTCTGCATCATAATCGTTAGCATCAGCATCGCAATCGTCCTCATCGCCATCGTCTTCGTCATCGTCGTCGTTATCAGCAGCAGCAACATCATCGTCATGACAGTGTCGGCATCGTCATCATCGTCATCATCATCATCATCACCATCACCATCGTCACCACCACCATCATCATCATCATCATCATCATCATCATCATCATCACCATCATAATTATCACCATCATCATCACCACCACAACCATCAGCATCATCGACGTCAGCATCATCATGCCCCTCATCGTCATCATCAGCATCACCATCATCATCATCAGCCTCATCACCATTATCAGCACTATCAGTATCATCAGTAGCAGCATCATCAGCAGCATCAGTATTAGCATCATCATCAATACCATCATTATGAGTGCAGCCATCATCATCATCATCATCATCATCATCATCATCATCATCATCATCATCATCATTATCATCATCATAAGTAGCATCATCGTCGTAATCGTCATCGTCATCGTCATCGTCATCGTCATCACCA